CTTGCACACCCATATGTATTCTAATAATAATAATAATACATTTTATTTGTAAAGCTCTTTTCATAAAGGAATCTCAAAGTGCTAGCTATTATATATAATTCCCTCTTTGATTTACTGATCCTCTGCCACTCGCCAAGTACACTAAAATGTTTTTTTTGTACAAAAAAAGATAGTAACCCAGGAAAATACTCCCTTCCACTAATTCAGATAGCTGCATCTTCTTTATATTATCTTCAGATTTACTATACAGTGTGTAGTTTGGATTTGTGATGTTTATTTAATTATTAATAAAAAGTGTACATGTGAATAATGTTTAGAGAAACTTAAAGAAAAGTGAACCTACCCTTTAAAAAAAGCTATATCTAAAACCATTCTAACGAAAAATCTATCGTACCTGTAGTCGGACAATGCAAGGTACAAATAATTTGTCCCTGCTAGAGGTAGTAAAATAGGAAAATGGCAAGTAAAAAAACAGTGGGTAGCTTAAGATAATCTTACATTACTCTTGCCGTTTTGTGGGCCAGCTGCAAACAAAAACCCAGGGCTGCGACATTAGTGGCACTTCTTATGTATTTCTACACATTTCAACTTCTTGGAACTGACCAAATGTCACTTGTTATATATATATATAAAAAACTTTCCCACGTCACATCTAGCTAAGATTCACATTCTTACTGCAGCATCAGCAGCCAGTGAGAAAAACACGAGAGGAGATGACAAGTTCAACTTCCTCATTTTGTGTATTACAAGTTATTGTCTACTGACACACGACAAAACATTAATGAGAAAAGCACAGCCAGATGTCAAGTTCAGGAAATGTCTATTTTAACTGTATCATAATTATCACTTTAAATAAACCTTACACTTGACAATGAAACCCGCAATTGGCAAGAACCACGCCAAAACAGACACATTCTTTATCGCTGCAATTTATCACACTGTCACACAGCCCAAGTTTCCAGTACGTGTCTCATGTGAGCATGTTTGTTCTTATTAGTTATTATTCTGGATATCTTACAGGATCTCAGCAGGGCACAACCTTACGACCACCCTTAAGCCTCACCACAGTGAGTGTGAGAAAGCCCTTGGCTGTGGGAAGCTTCTTAGTTCCCTTATTTCTCAGAGGCCTACACAATACTACTGTACAGGTTTCATGTGCCCCTAAACAAAAGTCATACTGCAGCTGACTATGAAGAGGTGATAACCTCCAAGCTTGCTGAGGCTCAACTTCCTGTACAAAGTGGTTAACAGCTCAGCCGTGAGTTAAGGAACACGAATCAGGCCAGCAGACAACCCCAAGAATCACACAACTCTTCTTAAAAGGGTTGTAAAATAAATCAGGTTTAACCTGACAAACAAACGGATGTGAAATAGGTTAAGATGAACCCAAAGCAAAGTGGCGGTATTTCCATTGAAGTGGACTTTTAATGTATAGCGGCATGTTGAAAGTAGAACACGATATGGTTTGGGTGGGAGTTTGTGTTTGTGTGTGAGGAGTGGGGGGGTGACATAACAACATCAAAGCTTACGGGAAAAAATGATTAGACTAACCCCCACTGATGAGTCACCTTATCACTTGAAACTTCACCTGAAAAAAGTGCTATCACTTTGTTCACTGAAATGTGTGGGTGCACTGAAATGTGTCAGTAATGATAAAACTGTGGCAGAGGATATTGGTAAGACTGTGTGGTCCTGTGGAGAGTATATCTGGAGGACACTCAAATAATGTTATGACATGTTATTTTCTAACTGGTACTGTTGACAGCAAAGTTTATTGTATTGAATACTCACGAATATGATGACAATTTCTGAGGGAAAACACTGTTCTCTGCATAGTTTCTGCATAACAGCTTAGACATTATGATTCATTGATGATGCAACATCTAACCAAAAAATGTAATGCCAAATATGTTTTATATTCAGAATTTTGAAAACAAAAAAAAATTCTATGCAGTGTGAACTGGTTGCCGGCATGATGCCTGAATTAAAGTATAAGTCTGGTGATATTCTATATTTTTCTTCTTTTTAGCAAAACCCAAGAAGAGACCAAAACCAACAATGAGTGCCAGACATCTCCATTATTGTCCAAAAACACACATCAAGGATTCCACATCAGCCAGTGACATATTCCTTCATTACAATAAAGATGAGCACAGTCATTTATTTTGAGTTGATCCCACACACACCGTACCTCTGCCGTAAAAGCCCTCTATAGCACTTTGAGGAAGCTTAGCCAGCGTGACTAGGTAGGTGGTAGGAGGCAACAACGGCCCTGGGTTCAAGTCCGACCTACGGTCCCGAAGCTTCTCTCTCTCTCTCTCTCTACTTTCCTGTCTCTCTACAGCTGCTACTATCAAATAAAGGCCCCCAGGTGGAACTACTGGCTAACAAACAAAAACAATTCATAATTGGAAATATGTAAAAAAGTAAAAGGGACAAATGGTGTTGTCTCATCCACTTTGTATAAGGAAATTATGAATCCTTTAATAATAAGAAACTATAAATTAGTTATAAAGATTTGTGTCTTCAGTAGGACCAAACAAGCTCAGGGCTGAGAAAAGCTGTGTTGAAACTAATGAGTGCAATACTAACACATTGTTGTTTATGCTCTTTTCATGGGATTTGTTGACAATAAGAAAAATTGAATTTAATACCAGCCGTAACCTCTAACAAAGGCTCATGAAGAAGGGCTACTGCATCCATATATTTGGTACAAGCAGTGAGGTGTTAATCGGACAATCTTCCACACGACTGAAATCTAAACCAGACTGTTCAGGCTTTAATCAGCTGTGTGATTCCCTCACAGACAAGTGTGTTTAGTGGTCCCTGTATCGTTATACAACCAACAGGACATACATACATAAATAATCCACATACAGAGTTTTTACTTTGTAAATAAGGAGTCTGCAACATGCATTCAGGATGTGGGTTTTGCCACACAATGATAAAATGGCAGTGGTAAAAATGATGCAGGCCCACCATGATGTACCACAATGCTTTTTAAAACATGTTCATTTGAACAGTGACAATGAGTCATCCTTAAAGGAAGCAGTCAGTACAGACATTTAAAGCTATTACATTTCTGTCTCAACAATATATCAGTCCTGCTGTTATAAATGAATCCTTAGCAGTATAATTTGACACTCATAAATACACCTTCTTGTCATTGCTACAAGGTGGTGTTAAGTCTGTGTCCTTCCTGTGTGTGTATATGTGTGACCATGTTTATGTGTTTACTTCTAATCAAAGCCATCAGACTAATCAGCTGGAATCGATACAAGCTGATATGTTATTACCTCTTTAAAAATCTGGAGACCAACCTTTCACTGAGTGACTAACCTGACTGTTGGAACATGGCAGACTGTGGCATCTGTGGTTACAGTGAGTCAGAAAGAAAAGTTTTTCTGTATTTCAACAAACACAGATCTGATTGTTCAGAGGACATTCCCCTCCTGATCTGGACAGCCCCCACACTCAGCACAACACAATGAAATCTGCAGAAGAGTGAACTTGCACAATGTAGTCTGGTTTTGCAATTTGGTGCCATTGTTTACTGTGGTTGTGCTGCAAATCAGGTGTCTTAACTTGGGGGGGGGTAAAGCTGTTTTCATGCCTGACTGTCTTTCTTCAAAATGACCAAGCATGAAAGAAAAGGGGGCCAGGATGGTGCCTCTTGTAATCACCTGAAATTGCTTAGGTCTTGGTAGGGTATGTTTGCAGCTGATATATCAGGTATTATTCAAAATACAAGAGTCCTTTTTGCAGTGTGGTCCTGTCCTGTACGTTTAGTGATTCAATCCAGTTCTGGAGGAGGTGGGGAAGAACTTGATTTAAGACTGCAACTCCTGCCTGAACAACTGCTGGTAGCTTTTGTGGCAGTTAGAGGAAAAAAAAATACAAACTGATATGGCATCTAAGGATGCAGCAGATGGTTTGTGAACCAGTGAAGAAGAATGCAAATAGAAAGAGCTAGACATGATACCTGATTTTTGTTATAGTTGACCAGTTAAAATGGTTGAGAAAGAAAACAAAATAAATGTATGAAAAATTGATATCAACATCAGTGGGTTCTTATGATACTAAAATGCTCACTTTACATATTAGTATGTTTAGCATGCTATCATGCTAACTGAACAGCTTTCACTCATGTTGGCATGTTAACATGTACAGTATGTTGTAAGATGGATGAGTGGAGCTACAACACTGACAGACCATGTGGAAGTGCACTGCTTTTTAAAAAATTACTCATTACTATTCAAATTAAGTATAAATTAAGTGGTGGCAATGAAATATGTATTGTGTTTGACCAAGAGTGATCCTTTAAGTAATTTGTCTAATTTAGAATATCCTGGAAAGCAAGAATACAACACATGACCATATAGTTTGTGTAAATTTGTAATTGCCACAATTTCCACGTGAAGAGAAGTAGGAACCATGAGTGATGATGCTGAGCAATAGAGCAAATAATTATAGAGCAACTATGGAGGATGTTTGGATGTTTTATGGCACAAACGGGTTAATTTATCTTTAAACAACCTAATTAAACATCTCTCTCTCTCACTCTCTCTCTCTTTTTATTTATTTTTTTAATCACATTTTTTAAAGCCATTGAGTTCACTATTTTAACAATCGCCAACAATACACTATATAATTTACATTTTAATGCAAACCCCTGTGTAAAGTCTGCAATCACGTTTTGTGGATATGGCTGCATCAGTGCACTGTTCTGCAGGCAATGTGCAGCTGATCATGAGAATCAATGTGCAGTAACAAGAACAATAAGTAGGGCAGTTGATCCAAATTGACTCATTTCAGTATCACCTGTTGGTTTGAACGTGGCCACACTGGTGTATTGGACTTCCGCTCTCCAAGCGAAGTTGCCTGATCAGTTTCCACAGCATTAAAACACACAGCCCGAAGAGACACAACCCGATTGGCTGCATGCACACAGTATATGTGAGCACCGCCCAGTAGCTCTGCTCTCTTCAGCACCGCTGGTTGTGATTGACAGGTAGACTAAGCGCAGCCTTCTGCAGGCAAACACGTAACATCCTAAAACTGGTACATATAATTAACTAAATGATCTAAGCGCTTTATCAACCGCTGAATGTGGTTGTGTGTGTTGAAGAATTACAACAGGCTCTCTCAAAGTTGCTCCTGTCCTCCAAATCCTCCCACAGGTGTCATCTTTTCATTCAGGTCAGTGCGGCGACTTTAAAACTGTCTAATCATCAGGTTTGAATTGGTCTAAACACTAATGTCATTCATTAATCCACTCACTTGCTTACTTAAGGTTAACTGAGGTTGATCATTTAATCATGTCTTTAAATAAATCTTGTGACACTCTATAGTTGTCTTTGCTATTAACCGAAAGAATGATTCATTCTTCAGATACTTTAAGATGCCCACCATAATGCAAAATACTCCACGACATGTTAAAAGTCTGGAATTCAAAATTGTAAAAATGTACTTGTAAAATGTGCGTTCAAATCTAATAACAAATTACTTACTTTGTGGAGATACATGTGTGTATGTGGTATATTATTGAATTATTATTAGTAATGCATTGACATGTATGCAACATTTAATGTTGCAGCTGTTCTGTAATTTGTCCTGTTGTGTATTGGGTACTATAATATTTCAATGCAAGAGCTATGTTTTGTATGTGGGCTAAAATCTGAATCTGAAATGATATAATATCCCAAAAATCTAATATCCAGTTATATTCTAAGTTGTATTTCCATGAAGTAACTCAAAATTAAAATTAACAACCAACTACTGCACAGATTATAGCCTAATTCAGTGACACGTTTAAGCACATGCAGTATGATAGATAGATCTATTCTTAGATAAAATGAGATAAACGTTTTTAAAAAGCTGATTTAAACGTTTGATCTCCCCAGTCTGCCATGTCAACCTCAAAGAGCCCTGACCGTCCTGGGCCTGCTGCTCCGTGCCATCCCTCCTCCTCTGTCGAGAGCAGCGGCTACATGGAGCCTGATCCTGACCCTGGACTCCTCTTCCCGGTGACACGGTCCTCGCTGCTGGCACGACGTCTCCTGCGTTTACGGGCCAGCGGTGGCCACAGCCCCGTTACGCGCCGCAAGAGGGAGATGATCCCCCCCGACAAGAAAGATGCCACCTACTGGGACAAGCGGCACAAGAACAACGAGGCGGCCAAGCGGTCCAGGGAGAAGAGGAGGCTGAACGACCTGATGCTGGAAGGTCAGCTTCTGGCTCTGAGTGACGAGAACGCACAGCTGCGCGCTCAGGTGCTCAGCATGCAGTATCACTGCAGCCTGAGTGCAGACAAGAGCAAAGCTGAAGCCTCTACTTTTTCTTCGTCACCTAGACCGGCTCACACCGCTGCCCTCTTCCAGACAGGACTCTGGGGCAACAGCAGGAGCGGCCCACCTTCGGGCCTGGGTGTTAGGCAACAAGAAAGAGCAATTCACCCGTCTGAGGCCAAGATCCCTTGTTTTAGCTCAACTAGAGTTGGCCTCAATCCACAAAGTGGTGGCACACAGCAAAGCCTCTTCCCTCTCCCCGGACCCCATGTATGCTCTCACCGGGCAGCCTCAGAGGCCGCGAGGTCAGCGGAGACAGAGATGGATACTCAGCGACAGGTCTCCTCCAGCGATGACCTCCTCAACTCCAGCCACGCGTCCTCCCATCCCGCCTCTTCCATCCGAGCACTTCTGCCCACACCTGACACACTCCACCATGCCTCCATCCTCTCATACCCGCCTCAAAACTGGCTGCTGACCCATGTGAATCACCCGGCAGTGTGTAATAATTTCATGTTGCCTTGGCGGTCTTCCTACATGGCCCCACCGGCCGTCTACCCCGGCCTGCCTCTCTACATACAGGAGAGACAAGACCAGGGTTTCGATATGGAGGCAGACATTCAGAGGGGCATCAAGAGCCGGTTCAGCAGCGCACCAGCAGGGCTGTCTCAGCTCGGAATGCACCTCAGTCCTGATGGACGTTAACAGGACAGTTTGACTGTCATGGCGTTTATTACAAAGAGAGGAGAAATACATCTTAGTGTATTTTTGAAGCTGCATTCATGTCTTGCATGCAATTACAGCTTTGAATGTTTTAAATCGATCATGAATACAAAAGAGGCTTTATAATTTGGACAACATGCCTGAATGCAATATGCTTTCCAATTTGTTATTTGGGCATAATGAAAACAGCAATAATGTCCATGTAGTAGGCTATTTAACGATATATATCAGTCTTTATTGTCATTTCACAGTATTTATAGCATTTTACGTACATGAAACGAAATGTGTCCTCTGCATTAGAACAACCCTATATACAATAGGAGCAGTGAGCCGCCGCTGGCGCCGCGGAGTTTATATATATCGGTATGCATATTTTCGGAAATACAGAGTGCATTTAATGCAGCCATGCTGTTGATTTAGTGTCTGACTTTCTGTGGTTTCAAATGTGTTTATGAGAATGAAACAGCGGTTACATTGCACGCACAGACCAGTGGTGGCAGATTAACAACAGGAATAATAATGCAGCTTGCTTCAAATCTTTTATTGATGACATTATTATAAAGTAGTAGGCTATGTAAATGTATAGCTGAAGCTACAAAAGGTAATTCGAGGTTTTTTTTTGTCATGATTTGAGATATTAGAGACATACATTAAATGACTGGGTTGATTTGATTGTATAGGGGGGTTAGGACTCATTGTTTGTAATTTATTTTGCCGTTTATCTGCGGTGAAAACATCGGCAAGTTAACTGAGCCAGCGAAACTCGGTGCCTGTTGACTTGGTATTTCCCTTTATCCCCACTGCGTGATTTCCCAGCAGACTTTGATTCAATGGAAAACCAAACGTTGAACCGTTTATTTGTATGCCTACAGCTCAGTATGAGACGCTATCCTCCACTGCGTGCATAAGGTTGTGCCACTCTTCGGCGCATTATTTTTAACTCAGCCATAAATACAATAACTTTATGCGTGCAACCAGGTGGCTCGCCCTTTGTTCTGTCTTTGCACAATTTAATAGCTTACGCGTCTATCTCTGCAAAATGTTTCTTTAGAAAAGGTGCAAAAGTTGTAGAAATAAAACACTGATGATATTTTAAAGATCAGATGTGCTAAATGTATTGATTTGAAAAAAACAAATCCAAAGTTTTATTTACAATAAGAAATGTTCCAATACAAAATGATCTACCTATTTACGGTTCATTCTTGCAGCTTCTGTAATATACTTTACCTTATATAATTTAGGCCAGTATTACTGCACGTAGATCAACACAGTGGTAGAACAATCTCCAAGCTTTCTCTCCATGCACTGCAGGGATAATCAAAAAGTATCTATCAAATAAGCTTAAATAAAATAGTAATCCAGGCTGATGAACTATTACAAGACAATCAGGTTTAGAAAAGTTTCTTATAAAAGATTCACTTTTCATGACAGCTGTTGTGAAACGGTCTCCAAGTTCAGCATCAGCAGTTAGTTTTTTAATGTAATGTTCATTACTGTTGTTGTAACAAAATAGTTGTTTTAAACTGTTTTCTTTTTCCTGGTTAGCATGACAAGATTGTGCAGCGGCATCTTGACAGGTCAGTCCCACAGTCTGCCACCACGTGTTCCCAACGCCACCAGCAGAGGGCGCTACAACACAATACTGGTGGAGTTATATACTGAGTTGCTTCTGCCAGTGATGACAAACCAGTATTGTTTTGTAAAAAAATGTTTTTTTTAAATCGATTCCTCTTTCCAGTATGAATATATGTGGGGTGAGAGAGACAAACAAGCAACTATTAAAGAGTAAAATAAATAAATGCTGTATGTTACACTGATTTTACAGAAAACACATGAGTTGGAAGAAAATTTTGTTTTTAAAAACCATTCGGTGTATTACTGAGACTGTTTCACCCCTAAATATATACAATCCTGTAAGAAACGATGTGATCCTTTTTGAAAAGGTAATGAAGTCTTCTTAATAAAGCTTAACATTTTAAAAAAACATTTGCACAATCATTTGAAAAAAGGATATACCTTGAACCTGTTTTCAGAGATTAAAATAAAATTGATTTAAAAATGTTTGAATGTTTAGTTTGACTTTATGGCTCATCTTAATTAGAAAACCAATATTAACGCAAAATATAATTGTCTGAGTTTGTGGTTGAAAAACTGTCAGTCCCTTAAATCGTTAACTGTGGGTCATACAGTTCACAGATATTTTCTAATTTGTTTAGTGTCACAAGATTTTCAGTTTTGATGTTCAGTTTTGATGTTTATGTAACAGACTTTCCGGTTTCAACAAAAGGACTTTGTCACAGTTTTATCCATCCCATAGACACAAGTGACATTTAGATTGAAAAGAAGTCTAAACATACACAGATGTCGTGAGCTTGAACAGTACATATGCATTTTTGTGTCCACATGGGCCTCTGGTACATATTCTTTAACATTAATGGTTTAAGCGCAACACAACAGGAAGCAAAAATCTTACTTATATGTCTATTGATAGAACTGGGGGTTGCAGTAAAATTTCCCCGCAAGACAAAAGCAAGTTTTAGAATTTCATTAGCACAGTTAATTTGTCTTCTTATAATGTACAACAAGTAGTTCTTCAGTGGGCAAAAAAGCGGATCAGTGAGAGGACATTAAAGCAGCAGAAACGCTGTCACAACTTTGATAAGGGACAAACACTTCTCTTTTTTTCTGTCAATCTGAGGTGGCAAAGATTTAGTTAGCCCTCACAAAAAAACCATCAGCACACATCATAATGTAGTCACATTAGAGTAATGCAGTTATTACTTCTACTCCGGGGTGTTCAATACATATTTCTCTGCAATTCTACCATATAGCACACGCGCACACAATACGTCCGTTTGAAATTGACAGCAACATCATACAAGCGAGACCCCCGTGTGGGCAAGCCACCAACACCACAACACTGCTGTCAAGATCAAGGGGGCCAGTCATATACTTTCCATGTGACAGCAGAGGTGGACAGTCCGAGTCAAAAACAGGAAAACAACACATAAAGAGTGAGAGAAAGCAAAAGAGGGAGGTGAGAAGGTAGGACGGAAAGCAACAAGACATTATAAGCCCCCCTCTGCTTTAGTGCTTATATCAATCTCATGACGCAGTCTCAAAGGACAGTTCCTTGCTCTAAGTTGTATATTAGCACTGAGCTAGATATCTCTGAATCAGGTCGTTGGTACCTCTTGGACTCTGAGAACACGGCAGTTGAAGGTAAGGCCACAAGCTCATTTTCATATATAAAGTGGTCTGGACCCTGTTAATAAACGGAAGACAGATTCAGGGGAGGAAATGGTTTAGGTGTTGGTGACCAAAAGATAGATGGTTTTTAGACACATACACCACTTTTCTCTTGTGCTGCTCAGTGCAACAACACTACTTTGTATGCGGTGAAATCGACAGTCAAGTCAGCTAACGCTTGTAATCATTCTTTGTCTTAATTTGCAAAAACACAGGAATAAGTGAGCAGGCTTTTCACATGTTCATATTTTATATGTTTATACATGCTACATATCAATCGAAATCAATTTATTCTGAATATATTACCTGAAAATGTTACTCTATTATCAGTTAAGAATTGTTTGAGAAAGAGGAAGTGTTACTAAGTATATGCAAGACAAGTTTTGTAAATGTCTCTATTGTAGAAGCTGTTATTGTAAAATATTGATAATTCTTTTTATAAATTAGCCATACTGGGTAACTGCAGCAACTGAACTTTACAAATATATATGTAATGAAATTAATATATATTCATTCAGGTTATGGAAGCACGTAATGTTATCTTGTTATCTGAAAAGAGGTAAAGGACGTTTTTAATAAGGTTGTAAATATATGTGTATAAGTGTCAATCAGGAGGCGTATTGTGATGTGATGACTTAGTGTGATGTCAATGGTCTCCTAATTATATATTTTAGCCTACACAAACAAACATTTGTGTCACGTAAACTGTATTATAAATATTTTATTTTGGTGAGTGACCAAAAAAGTATAAGCTTTGTAATGTTATCTACAGTACATGGTACAGCAATAAATCCTTTATGTAACTGAAAAGGTTGTGTGAGAGCAATATGTGATCAAACATTTTTGAGGCCGTAGCTTGTGCTGTTGTTTCCGCTTGCACTGTATTGTAAGGTGTTTCTGAAATGTCTATTCTGCATATAACCTATGTGAGGTGGAGAAAATATATGTATTGATATATACACACATACATACACACACACACACACACACACACATCAATTAGAATTTTTATTTAGAGTTAGTATTTATTGCTTTGCTAATGTGCTGTACTGCACTGCATCACAAGGGTCTTTCTGCTCAGTATAATTGACAAAGACAAACCTTTTTTGCAAGATATATTATGTCCTGGCTGCACAATGTAGATGTATGAAGCCGGAGATTGTGATGAGCTGCAAACATACCCCATAACAAGCTGTGTTTTTCTTGTGTTTATCATTTAGCTGGATGTAGCAGCCACATATATTCAAACTGAGAGAAACATTAAGTTCTTGTTTTATACTCTCTGAAAGCTTTAATTATTTTACGAATTCAAGGAGTTTGACAAACTTGAATCTCCACAATCCTTTTCACACCTGTGTGACAGATAATTTAACATAAAAGAACTCTACAACATCTAATATGGATTGTTTTAAGAGCAAATCCAAAAGTTTCCTAAAAACAAATCACCTTCACACTGTATATAACTATATAGATAGCAAATTTTGATAGTGATAGTGATTTCAATGTAAAGCACCATATACTCTGTATTCTATGAAGGTAAAAATGTAGTAGACTTCAATAAAAGATGCTGTCTGTCCAGCCATCCATTATTACATGATAACATTAGCGGCGTAGTACCATACTCACTGCGTAGACAGTGAGAATATTTCATACACGTTTCCTCTTTCTATGATGCTGTAAATACTTTGATTACAGTTTAATTTCCATGTATAGACAGTAGTTTTAAAAAAGTGAATGTTGTGTATTTATGCTGTTTTCCCATTTACAATATAGAAAGAGTACAAGGAAAGATGTTCGCTATGGGTTATTAGCATTGCCCTTCAAGGAAATTGTGCGTTAACGGACAATTCAAGCCAAGAACTTTTGCAAATGTATTATTCTCCCAAGAGAGCATTCATTCACTCCAATTTCCACAATGGCAGTTTACAAGACACATGAACAGAGTACATTGAGGTGAAAAGCCACAAAATACTGACGGACCAATTTTTCCTCCTTTGGGAAGTTATTTTAGCAATGGCTGGCAGGGCGCACAGCAACACAGCAGCAGATGGTAGAGTATGAGAAAACAGATACATGCAAAAAGAAGAAGTTTCTTACTAAAAAGCAGGCTGGCTATAATTAGTCAATAAAAAACAGGTGCAAATGTGCAGCAGAGTAGTGAGCAGGCTCAGCCTCAAGAGAGATGTCACTCAGGAACCCTCTTTTTTTATTTTCTCTCTCTGTGTCTCTCTGTGTCTCCCTGTATGATTATTGTGTTCTCTCTTCCTGCTGTTGCTTTTTTTGGGCTTCCTAGCACAGAGTATACAACACTTACTCTTTGTGTCAAACACAAGTATGCAGGTGTGCATGTTCTCACACAGAAACAAAAGGCATATGGGCTTCATTCTCGCTGGGCACAGGCTTGAATATTTTTAACTTGATGTGCGTTCTCACCACCGCACATAGGGTGCATGGCCTCTTTGATACTTTTGTTTTGATGCCTCTGCCTCTGTCTGAATGGCACATCAAAATACAGTTTATGACTACATTGTCATTGAATATGCTTAGAAGAATAAAAATGAGAACTTACATCTTAACAGGACACTTCATGATAATTTTTGAGGTAATAGACTGTAAAGTTATGGTTTGTGCTTAAAAGAGTGCTTCAGTTCCTCATGTGTGAAATCCTGAGTGACAGTTTATTTCACAGCTCATTTATAAAAGGTGTCATATGTAACTGCTAGCGTAAACTAATATGTGATATCTTATTACAAATTAACTTACCAGCTATAGTGTTGTTTGCAAGAATAAGGTGTGAGGAAAACATCAATGAGTTAAAAGCTGTGTGTGTGTGTGTGTGTGTGTGTGTGTGTGTGTGTGTGTGTGTGTGTGTGTGTGTGTGTGTGTGTGTGTTTCTGCGTACGACTGCATGCATACGGGGCTGGCTGTGGTTTCAACATAATGTTCATCCATCTTGCACAGCTTCCCATGAAACCACCCACAAACCCACGCAAATGAAAGAGACTATATTAAAAGCTGCCAGCTTTTCTCTCAGACTGGTTATTCAAAATATTGAATTTACCTTATGCAACGAAATGGACAAACCATTACTGAATGTGTTTTATTCCCCACAATGCAGAAGAATCAAGTGAGGCGAGTAGATAAAAGATGAGGCAGGGGGAAGTGGTGACTAGGTGGACAAGTCCATCAAAGAGGAAGATGGGGAAGATATAATGAGAAACACAAAGCAGTGTCACACTCAAACTCAACTAAAGAATGGGCTATTTTTAAAGTCTAAACTGAGTATATAGAGTGCATAAGTTCTACATGACAAGCTCAAATAATCAGCTCTCCACTCTGAACTGAACCAAATGCTGTGTACAACAGCAACTTCATGGCCTCAGAAAAACTTGTCCAAAATGCACCTGCAACATAAAGACATTGTCTACTCATTTCACAAATCATTTTTGATTTACTCTGTAAAAACAACTTCAGAGATGCAGAGGTGCAGATCAGCACAGTAGCTATTATTTGAAATATGGAACTACAACTTGCTGCTGCATGAACTCATTGTTGCAAATAACTGCATATAACAGAATATCGATTATCAAACATGTTTGTCCACATTGTTCTTTGTCAATTATATCCCCCTTCACATTTATTATGTGGTCTAGACAGGTGGGAAGTAAGGTGCGGTAATGAAGGGGGTCTGAGTGCTAGAGGTGCTAGACAAAGTCAGGTGCAACTGAGTGCACAGTAGTAACCGCGGCAGCTTTTTAGAGAAGGAAACAACCCATGCAGTCTTGTCTGCCGGTTACTGGATGTACAGGCTTTACATAGCTAACAAACACATAAGTGGATACACATTTACAAATCAAGGTAAATATCAAATATTCCTGACAGTATTTATCACCTGAGCACTATCTAATTACATTTTTACAATGACATTCAACACCAACTCACTTGTTGTAGTTTTGATGTTCTTACAAGGAATAAACTTCTCGACGTGAAAATGATCTATTGTTGACTTTTCTTCCCCATAGGTGACAGCTGTGGACTTCAGATAGCACATGTAAACAGGCTGTCAGCAGAATAGTCTCATAGACTTCAATCATCACTGCATTCAGTAATACTACGGTGCTTTCAGTGAAGACAAACCAAGATAAGGTGAAACCCAAACCAGATAAGGTTACTATAATTAATATAAGGAATTACATGTTTAACTTAACCTCCAACACAAGACTAAAAACTCTTGATCTCTTGATTTCAGGTTACACATTTTTTTTATCTACCATGGAGTCCGGGTCGTCACCTTTTCATTCAAGCCAAGACAGCCATATTTCACAAGTGGAAAATGATCTGGTACGCAAGGGCCCCCGTCGCAAAAGGGAGTTCATACCTGAAGAGAAGAAGGACGCCCTCTACTGGGAGAAACGTCGTAAGAACAACGAGGCAGCCAAACGATCACGGGAGAAGAGAAGGATGAACGATTATGTGCTGGAGTCTCATCTCATGGCCCTGAAAGAAGAAAATACCAAGCTTAGTGCTGAATTAATGGCCATCAAGTTGCACTTTGGCCTAGTCCACCCTGGAGCCTATACTGCCCACCATGTCCACAGCAGCACCCAGCCTATAACTGCCACTGGCACACAACACCAGGCCCTGCAGAGGGACTACTACTGGGGTGGTAGAGACACTTCTGTTATACCACGCCACCAACCGTCTCCCCCTGTTTTTATCCCTGCATACGCCATCCATAGCATGCGGGGCTATTCATACTTGAACCCATCCGGTGCTACTGGCACTGGCCTCCTCACTCCCCTTGTCCTCCCTCAAAATCTCCTGCCCACCCATGCTTCCCATCCTGGAGCTCCCCTACTGAAGCCCATTCCTACGAGAGCCGGCTCAGATGAGGAGGAGGAGCAGCAGGTCCCAGGGGTGTTGTCCCTGTCCTGCTGCGCTCCACCCCAGAAAATCACCTCCAGAGGACACAGAAACTACTCTCCACCAAAACGGTACACATCCGACTAATACAGAGGGGTGTATGCAGTTGTTAGATTGACTGACTGAGAAACGAATTCTTCAGTTCTCTTTATGTACCGTCAAATACTCCTGCTGATGCTGTAACTTTAAGAGCTCTATTTTTGTTTATTATTGGTGCATTGTATTCGAAAAAAGTGCACAAGCCGTTGAAACCTCCACACTCCCCACTTTTGTGTGACAGTTCTATGTTGAATGATGATCATTCAGCCAAATTAGTGACCAGATAGTAAGCATTTGAATAGAATTCATTCATATACAAGTTCCCACACACAAACTGTGATACAAAAATAGAACTCTGAAGCTACATCAGCTCTTCTTCGTTTGTACTTTTTTCAGCATGTCAAAATTCAGCAGATGTGAACAATTGTGGGTTATGAATAAGATACAGTACACACACAACCAAGTATGAATGGTGACCACAACTGTGACAGAACTATATGCGTGTCTGATGTCAACTTGTATTTTGTTGATGGATAAACATTTCTTGGTCCTAATATACATCTGCTGACCAGCAATTGTATTCTCAACTAGATTACTGTTCAATCGAGCATTTGCCTCCTTTTTTCATACAGTGAAATACAGCTGAAAACATGTGTTAATCCAAATTACATTTTTAAAGATAAACTTGTTGGCTATTAAAAAAAAAAAAAAAGACAACATTTCCACCCTGGACTGAGATTACTTTGTTGATAAGGGACAAACACTTCTCTTTTTTTTTTTTTTTTTGTAATTGTTGGTGACAAACACCCTCTGGGTGGAAACAGTGAATTATGATGATGTACCTCTTTGGTTTTCCTGTGTGGGCAGTAATAGTCATCTTTCTCCATATTGTGACCACAGTGTGTCTGAATATTCCAATATGTTTGGGGTTGACATTTTGTTGAATACATTTCAAATGTAAAAAGAAGATTAAAACAATTAAGTTGAGAATTGTGAACAATGCTCAAACTTATTCTTTTACAGACCCGAAACCATGCATGGCTCATAAAGGTAAAAAAGAAACTCCCTTCATAAGGCAGAAACTGATGTTTTAATCATCACATGCTTGCTTTCCCGCTACAGTACTCAAAAAAATATCGGCCTTTGGTCCAGAGTAAAGTGAAACAATTGTATTAGGTTACAGAAATGGTAGATAAATGCTCTCTTCTTTCTGTTGGCATCTGTTGTTTCTTTCAGTGTATTTATGAGTCAGCAGCGCCAGAGGCTACAGCAGGTTGCTGGCTCTTTGCCTGACAGCACTGATGGCGACATTTGCTGCTGTTCAGGCAAACAGCCAGTGTTGCTGGCTCAAAGACAAACTCAAAGAAACAGTCAAAGCCAACACAGGAACAAGACAGCAGCTGACTACTGAGTGAGTGTTTTTGTAATACAATACTAATATGTGTTTATGGCCAGCAATGCAATCATGCATCCCTGCTGTGGTAATAACAATTAAAGATGGCCAGTGAAGCTGTTAATAGCAAGTAGTTAGAGGAGCCCATAAGCAAATCCATGCAATATCAGCAACAGGGCCAACTTCAGCAAGTTTAATTTGTATGACAACTGGCACAATTGCTTAGGTTAATGTCTGTAGGGTTGACACCTAGCATTTAAACAATCATAAAACAATCTGACACAGAGCCGGGCATGTTAAGCTTTAAGTTTTACCTTTTAAATTAAACTGTGCAGAAGGATAAGTAGCTTGAGCCCATAAATTAATCATAAATAAACATTTCCTTGGAAATACTACATATTGCCCATAAATTATTTAATTTTTTTTTCTTAAATTAGGCTAATTTATTTACATTATCTTGTTTTGTTTTTATAATTATGTCAAAATGATATATAACGTTACTTACAAGTGTGAAGGAGATTTTTAGTCACTATAACAACAAAAAGAGAACAACGTATCTTTAAACTGCTCCAACCGTCTATGGTTACAACCGCCATTCTCACGTCGCCACCTTGGTTTTATCCATAAACTGTATTCACCTGTCACTCGGACGGCGTACCGGAGAGAAGTTATGACCCGCCCCACTCTGCCTCTGATTGGCTCACCCTAACATTCTTACCCTAATCCTAACCAATCACACCTCATACCTGAAACCAAACCAATGAATGGCAACGAGTACTAGCCAATCAGAGGCAGAGCAGGGCGGGTCATGACTTCGAGGTCAGGTTCACCCCGACTATGCCCCAACCGACCAGTAGGAGTCGCTAGTGGTGACACCAGGACCAGAGAGCAGGGCTTAACCGGATGTTCGTTAGTACGGCGGTTCCCAACCATTGACAGTATATTTAACCCCTGTTTTTTATTATTACTAAGAAAACATATTTCATGGATATTAACAGTATAGAAATAACTGGTAAACTGTACAATGAACACAAACAGTGAACACACAATAACTGCTGAGAGTTTGTGTAAAAAGAGCAGTTTGGATGAATTTTGAGCACATTATTACATTACATTACATTATTTGAGATTTGAGATGAGTTTTCATATTTTCTCTGTCTGTATTGTTTGTTGGTTTTTTTTAACAATCATGTTTTATCAAAGCCAATCATTTCATCTAATTTTCTTCATACAAATGCACAAATGTATATTTTTACATTTTCTCACCCCCTTTAAAATCAAGAAGGCCTTGTAACCCCCTGTGGAGCCTTCCCAGGCTGGGAACCACTTTTACACTGTCTGGCAGCCTACACACATTACATTGCATATTTTCTGTCTCTTACACAAATTAATCTTACATCAAGCTCCAGTAACCAGATCCCAACAAACCAAATGTGGGACAAAGACTATGTTTGGGACAATTTGATGTTACCAATGCTGAGAGGAAGTCTAAAATGTCATATAGTGTCTATCTAACTATAGACATTTCTATTGCTCCTTAACTCGTAACATCTCTATACTTTGACTTTGGTTTATCCAGTAGCACACAGTAGGCTATGCAGGTTAGAAGTTAGGTTTTATATTTCTTGTGACGACAGCTTTCCCTGCTTTCTTCACAGCCATTGGCTAAAAGTCAGATCTCTGCCCTGCAGTGATTTCACTCTTGAAAACTAGAGCCAGTCAAAATGTGGGACATTGTCTGTAGTACGTGGGACAATGGATAAAAATGCTGTGCCCAGGTGACCAGGTGTCCCACAAAGTGGGCTACAGTATCATATTATCTTTTAAAGTCAGCTTTAAGCCCTTCACTAGCACTTTTGTCTTACATAACTATGTGTTTGTGTCTCAGATCTGCTCAGCTGGCTGATGAGTAATCTTTTCCAACCCAGGTATATGCTGTATTTAAGCAAGCTAAGAATATACAAGTTTCCAAAAGAACACGTAGGTTGTAGGTCTCTGCTGCACTATGCTACTGAATATTTTTATACTGTTAAAATGAGATGGGGATCTCCATGCTGTATGTATTGTGATTAATCTGTTTGGATATATATTATAGGAGTTACATTTCTCTACAATAAAGATTGCCACTTCAGTCTTGGTTCAGCTGTTTATATCTTAGTGGTATTTCAGACCTGCTTCCTATGGTTACCGGTTCTAAGCTACATGAATAAATGCAATATGTGACAATAAAATAACATGCTATTTATATATCCCTGCCACCCTGTGTCTACAAGTGCAGACTTCGAATGTTTTGTTTTCCTGTTTTCATGGTCAAACTAAACCAGACAATGGTAAAATAAGACAAAGTAAGGACTTTGTCTTATTTTGTAACATAAGGATGTAATCAGGATGGTTATTACTTCATACAAACACTATACCTCCATTTGTTACATTGCCCTTACATTATGTTCTTTATTGAACAGAATTATAATGTTAAGCCAGTAGTTCATGGTTATTACTGTTAAAAACACTGCACTGACAGATATTAATATTACAGCTCCAAATAGTCATAAGTATGCCTTTTGTTGCTCTATCATTCAGTTCCTGTGTGTTGTTCATATCGTTTCGTATATGCACAGTTTAATGGGATTTGAAGGTCTAATGCAAGTTTCAGCATTCTTGTGGCTTTGAAGTGAGAACATGAATCCGATCTTGATGGAACATTGTCCTCTACTTACACAACAAAAAAACTTGGTCTTACTTTTTAATTACAATATCTCTCTCACTCTCTGCAACCCTACTATCAACAGCAATCTAATACACGTCAGCAGTCACCAATGTGGGTTGAAACTAAGTACACACGCATTTCAAACCAAAATGAATCTTTGGTAAGTTCATGACATTCAAGTCATCTTGATCCTGACACATTTAAGTCATAATGAGAGTTAGATAAACCTGGGACTCCCGGTGGCATCAAGCTGCAGCTGATGTAACATACAACTTTAAAATTAAAAGGTCTGATCAGAGTTAGAGGATTTGTTTGAATTATCAGCCAGTGCAAGCAAGATGAGTGGCTTTAAAATCAAAACAGAAAGTGGCTTTTTACAGTATGGTTAATGTATATATCCTAATAAGAGACTGAGGAAGGACTACTGTAAATAAATAGATGAGTAAACTATAGTTTGCAGTGTATAAACTGTTCTACAAGCAGATCATGTCCGGATGAGAAGACAGGTTCGTTGTTTGTTCAGTAACTGCTAACCGCTACAATCCCATTTTGACCACCACGGTTCAATACCATGGTAACACAAAACGTGTGATTACCCACACGCACAACCCTTATACACACACACTTGCACACATGCACACATACACTGCGTTACATCACTTCAATTACCCATCAATGTTCCCATGGTATAGCTACAAATAGCTTTGGTAAAGCAGAAGTAGTGTGTTAAAGTGCATTCTGACATCATTTCCTCTGTAAACCAAATGAAAGACAGACACGAGGGGAGGGTTTCAGAGCATTGTGATTCTTACTGCCACTGTCTACTTCGAGTTAATGAAATTAATTATTAACTGAATAACCCACGTGAATGCTTAATGGTGTAATTTCGCAGTCTGGTGATACATCTTTCAGTGGCTCATCTGAAATCTTAGTGACATGTTGATAACATCTCCTTGACATAGACGGCCACAGTCAACTCTTAACAAAGTAGGAGGGAGTTTCAGGTGTATTACTTTGAAGTCTACTTAAAAACACAAAACCTAACAGTGATTTCTAGTGAAACTAAATGTAATCATTTCCCAATCTAATCTAATTTTCACCTGGGTTTTGCATAAGGTCTAACTTAAGTGCCAATGGTAGTACCTGGTGTCTGTCTCACTCTTCACAGACGTAATGCACATTACTATATCTTGCTACTGTACGACAAACAAACAGCACATCAGGGTGTGAATGCAAAGCTATTTTTATCTGCTCACAAAATGTCATTTATTTTTGAGGAATGCATGGACAATATACAACAACAACCTTCCTTATAGTAGAGTATTATGCAGAATCAGTGACTCATGGCAAGAATATGGTGAGCAAAGCACGCTAAGTAGAAACCAACTCAGCCTCTTAGTCAGTCCTAATCTACATCATGGCAGCTTTCTTGTTCAGATATTTCTAGCAATTTTAAAATATTTGAGACATCTTACAAGTGGTAAACAAGGAGAGTTATTCTTTTGCTATCTGCATAGAAAGGGGTGAAAGATTATAGGCGAAATCTGAGTAAATGAGTGGAGAATCATAACAACTGCAAATGCTTTCATAAAGATGTAGTGCATGATACAGTGAATTAATTAACATCCCATTGTGATCTCAGACATGTGTAACAATGGTGAGAAGGCCCAGATGATTTTGATTTTGAAGTGACTCATTACAAAGTCCAACACATATGAGAACGATCAGAGGTGCCAAAACCATATAGTCAAGAGATGTGGGGGAAAAAAGTGTTACGGTCAGATGAGTCATTCCTCACCATATTCTTGACAAGTGGGTGGGGTGCAAGTGTGGCGAACACCAAGATAGCTCAGGCATGATTGCTTGACCCCCACATTGATGGGCCCGGTTGTTCTGTTATGCTTTGAAGATAAATTATCTTGGTATGGCTTGCCACTTAAACACTATATGTCATTATTTTCTTGGACTAAAAATATGTGAGTCCTTGCTCTGACTTGTGGCCCTTTGCTGCGTGTCTCCCCGTTTTTCTGTCGCTCTATCACTGTCGATACTTTGGCTGTAAAACTATAGTTGTGATAACTGAAAATCATACATATCTTAGACATTGTGAAGACTATACCATGACTTTCAGGGGGGTAACTTATTTTGCAAAGAAACATTCGTAGATGTAATCATATAGGTCTACTAGCTTTATGTTAATTGCTCATTATTATGTTAATCACACACGATTTACACATGATTCATGACGATAAAGATACAGAAAACTAGAAATGCATGGCAAAAAGAAAGGTAAATATTTTAGAAACCTCCCAAAATTTCATAGATCAGGATTCCAGGGGAGCTTATATCCTACTGGCTCCCCTGTAGTTAACACCCTGGTCTTAGACCAATGACTCATATTTAAGGTGAGGACAGAGATGCAGCATTTGAAGTTTAAAACAGCCAAGAGTGTCAAAGTCTAGACTGTTCATCATTCTGCACAGTGAAGGTCAAACATCCAAGTGACGCAACAATAAGCTTCATACATTTTTGAGTAGAGGGGGGCTTTAAATATTTTACTATAATCTATATTATTATTAGAATCATAATCTATCCATAATTGGAACAGACAATGGACAATTTAAGGGCACTGGGTGCTGAACATCTTCCTGTTGCTCTCTCTCTCTCACTCTACTACCTTGAGGCTTTCCTCAAGTGCATACCAGTTTGACAGTACCGTCATAACAGTACAGTATGAATTCACTTTCCCACTGAATAACAATGTGGCTTTGTTGAATAAGTTAGTTATTACAATAAATTGAGTCATTGTAGCTAGTGTGAATGCAAAGCTATTTCATCTGCTAAGTAACACATTTCATTTTTAATTTATGTTTACTTGAATGAATAGATAATGAACAATAATAACACTACATGTATAGTATATGAAATACCTATATTATTAGTGAACTGTGACAAGCACATTCTATTCTAAGCCATATATATCTATGTGTAGTGAAGACAGGGCATCGATCTATCTTATTTTACTTGACTGTTTTAAATAAAAATATGGAAAACCCCTGGGAAAACATAAAAGAAATATAAAAATTCAACACAAAATTTCACAGTGACGGGGTCACAGGTTTATTGTAGACTCTCAGTTAATTTGTACACTCTCAGTCTTCCAAAATAAGGGTTGAGTGACCAAATGACGGCTATAAAAATAGGACGGGGGACAAGACATCATCGTAGCAGATAATATAGCATGCTTTATAAACAGTGTGCTTCATTTTTATAAAACAATACAATACAAAACACTCTAACACAATTTCCAGACACAATGATTTCCATATTTACAGGATGGATCCAGGAAAGGACGATGAAAAATACCATCAATTAGCTTAACTGGTGTCAAATCAGTCCAGTAACATAATCAAAGTAAATTATTAATAATTCCATATTGTGAGTTATAAATCTAGTCTGTAAAATGTGTTGCACATTGTATATGTGGATGATCACAAACTCTTTATTCAGTCTTTTTGCTCTGACCTGCAGAAGTGGGGAGGGAGTTTGCTAAGTTAATTTAGCCTCATTTAAGAATTAATTTCACTTCCAGTAAGACTGGGTCCAGGTCATCTTCACATTTGCCTTTGGGGTAAAAAATCGCTCAGTATGAAGTTTGGAGGTTGGGGAGGTCAAACCGTATCTTGCTCTGGTAAGAGTATATCACTCAGTACAGTCTACAGCCAACAGAGGGCAGCAGAGCAACACTGTTAAAGCTGCAGCAGTTGTAGCAGAAAGCAGAAAGCTGATTTCTGAACTGGTGGCATTGGTACCCAAGGCTAAACCCACAGATCAAGAGATAAACCTTGAGGTTAGAGTAGTAAGGAGGCAGTTCACCTGTTTTGTCACTCTCTCTCAGTTATGTCTGAAGGTATGAGGGAAACTTGACATTTCTGCTATTAATGTAGTACTAAAACTACCACAGATGCTGTACAAGGCCCAAAACTGATACATCTGCATTTATGTCTTTGTTGTTGTCAAATGCCACGATTGCAAAAAACACTGAATTACGTTCTCTTTAGCAGAAACCGTATTCATCAATATATGAATAAATAGTATGAGGGAATACAGAAACACCCTTTGTCATGGTAAAACTCTTGATTAATTTTCTGAATGCTGAATGAATCATATTGAAATCACCTTCATAACCGCTTTAACAATACAGCTATCTTATAGGGCATATATTAAGTCCACCCCTTTGGAATACAGTGTCAATAAGTCTTCCTAGAGTACCTCAACTCCTTCTCTTCTTTGGCTCAGTTTCATTATGACCTTTGTTCCAGTTTGCAAGGTCTTTATCACATTAGCATTTTTCCCTGCGTGCCTCACACATCGAGGTCCTGATGAGAACCCACTTAACTCCTTCCCCCTGCTGGTCAACCAAGCCTCCCCACTGTCCCTTAAAGCCAAAAATAGGCAAGTGAACTGAAACCTGATGTAAACGCCCTTCATGATTTTGTCGTGTGAGCTCGGGGAGCGATCAGGCATGTTTCAGTGTTAGATCTATCTCATGATAAGGTGAGAACTGTAAAAGCTCTGGACTGGAAATCACTTATATGAAAAAGATACTTTAGCAGTAGAATTACAGAACGGAAAAACTCACTCAACAGTACTATAAACAACCACAAGGATTTCAATGTCAATGATTACAAAATATATAATACATCTTATACAGTATATATCCTACCTATACAGTATGGTCTATTCAACATTGGGATAAATGCACCCCAACAAATGTTCCATTTACAAATAATACACATTATTCAAAGTAAGAAGCCAACTCTGTACATGCGTTCATCTTTTACATCAAATTTTTTTCAAGAGGGTAAGAGTCTTGTACAGTGTGTCAGGAACAGACAACAATGGAAAAACCTAACTTGCAAGTGCGCATCTGCATGTGCACAACTGGGTCCTTTAATGGTAGCTTAACCTGTAGAGTCCGGTTTTTGTTTTAAACGGCTTTGAGCAACTTTTAGTGGTATTTAATGAGATGTAACTCTCTACCACGGCATTGCATTGACATTGATATTACATGGTGCTTTAAGGTCAAATTGGCAGTGTTGCAGAGTAGTCTCTGTCTAGTGTGTTCTGTACAAACCTACCATCAGCAAAAAAGCAGAGCTTCTATATTTATGTTGTTATAGTGCTCTAAAGTCCTGACTGTAAATGAGTCTAAATATGCAGTATATAGCTGGAACTATTCAAATACATGTTGGCAAGTCCTTGGCATTCATCGAGCACCACCCTGTTATAATGTATTCATGAGTTTGGAGATAGACAGCGTGAATCACCTCAGACGGAGCAGAGAGGTGAAGTCCTTAAAAGATGAAGAGGACAAAGTTCCTTGTAGGGAAGAAGGATGGAGTTGGCAAGAGCTTTGTAGAGGTTAAAGACTGGTGGGACTCTGAGTGCTTGTGTTGCTTGGTCTTTGAACAGTCTATTCAACATTTTGAGACATCTTTAACTATAATCCAGCTCTCCTCTGCACAATAATGTCAACACATGACAAAGCTGTAGAAATATATCAAATCCATACAGATTTCTCTTTTTCTCCTATATACAGTAGTTTCAATAACAAAACCATGTCTCAATAAAATGTCCGATAAATAATTGTATTTAGTGTTTTGCAAGCACAAACATCCAGTTTCTTGTCCCTTTATTTCCTAGCTTGAGACTGCCTGTAAACAGTATCAGGTAAAGAATTCTAACGAGAGAAACAGATCCCAATAATCATATCATTTTCATGTTGAACTTGCGTGCCCCACCCTGTCCTCCACTGGCAGCCGGTCCATCCACCTTTCTGAAGGAATATTCCACCGAGAAATTGTTCTTGTGCTGCCCTCTCCCTCGACTCCACACAAACAACAGTATGAAACAGAAGAGAACTACCCCCAGGAACATGATACAGCCCATAGCTGTGGATATGAGGATGGTCTTGAGGTCCAGAGTAAACTTCAAGAAGACTCTGGTGTCATTCAGATTTGTGTCATTAAGGTCCCCAGCATAGTAAGTGCGGTTGGCCATAAGTGCTGCATCTAGTGGCAACCCACTAACTGTAAGGGTAGCAAAATAGGTGTCATTTCCACCAGCATTGCTGGCTATGCAGATGTAGGTTCCACTATCTGTTACCTGGGCATACCGTATTTCTAATGTGCCTTCTGGTAACACAGTTAGGCGGCCGCTGCTCTTTGTGGTGATGCGGCGGCGTTGAGGGGAGATCCAGAATATCACTGGTGTCGGCTCACCTTCTGCTCTGCAAATGAATGACACAACCTGCCCCTCGCGGGCAGATATCTGTTGCAGTTTCCTGTTGCGGATTTTGGGCTTCTGGCAAGTAAAGTGATCAAAGAGAGCCGAGTCAGAGAAAGCGTTAAGGGCCCGTCCCTGCACCTCAACGGGCGTCATACACACTGGGGAAGCGCCGTCAAAATTGAGGGTCTTCCTGCGCTGAAGGATCCACAGCAAGCGGCAGTCGCAAGCCAGAGGGTTCCCATCCAAGCGCAGCGTCTCCAAAGTGTTGACAGACTGAAAGGCTCCCTCCTCCAGGGTTACTAGGCTGTTAGCGGAGAGGTTAAGAAGGCGGATTTGCCTTAGACCACCCAGCGCATATGGCTGCACTACCACCAGGTTTGTGTTGACCAAATGCAGCTCCTTCAGCCTAAGTAGGTCCCGTAGTGCCCAGGACTCCAACACAGAGATAGGGTTGTAGGAAAGGTTGAGGCTGGTGAGGTGAGCCAAACTGCGTAGGGCAGACGTGGGCACAGAGGTGATATTGGTGTGCGTAATAGACAGCCAAGATAAGTTTAGACCCTGTAGGCTGTGAGGGGATATGTACTCTAAAAAGGGCCAGTGATCAATCTCGAGGCCCCTCAGGTTTCCCAGCTTACGGAAATTCTGGTCCTCTAAGGTTGAGATGCTGAGGTAGCGGAGCCGCAGAGTCACCAGGTTATGGAGGTAAGACAAAGACTGGCTGGAGACAGAAGTCAGGTTGCACCTCTCAATGGTCAGCTCCCTCAGGCCCACTAGACCCAGAAAGGCTTTGTTGGAAATATAAACCAAATCATTGTCTCCAACTTCCAGGTTTTTTAGACTTTTCAGGTCTTGGAAAGTAAAGTCCAAAAGAATCACAATCTTATTCCCACTGAGGTCCAGTGAAGTAAGGTTGGAGAGACGTGAGAAAGCCCCCATGGGGACCAGTTTCAATTGGTTCCCCCTCAGTGAAAGTGACTGCAGGTTCTGGAGACTTGAAAAAGCATTTGGTTCCAGGACACTGATCATGTTCTCACTAAGGTCCAGCTTTTCAAGACGTTGATATGGAAGAAGGTCACCATGCTCTACCCAGCGAAGTTTATTCCCACTTAGGTCCAGGATCTTGGTGTCCAGTGGGATGCCATCTGGCAGTGCGGACAGGCGTTTACCATAACAGGACACGGTTTTGAGTTTTGCAATGCAGTCACAACGCTGGGGACATGCTTGACCCTGGGTGGGTGACACTGTGATCATCAGTAGCAAGAACAGGAAAGGCAGGATCCAGCCGACACCCTGGCCCAGGCTCACCCCCATGGCCCTGCTTTCTACTGCTTTCTCCTGCTCCTGTCTGGGGTTGAATCACTGGGCCAGACACCTGAGGAAAGAGACAGAATAGGAAGAAGAAAGGGGAAGGGGGGAGGGCAGATAGAAGGCCAGAAAAGAATGAGAAGAAGAGACAAAGAGACAGACAGTGAGACCAATTAATTAAACCCAATTCCCCTCCAACAGCAGCGATCAAACACTCTAAATGAATGGAATTACAATTACAAACTCTAATTGACCCGGCGTAGCAATAAAATTAAAGCTAGAGCTCCAAGATAATCCTCCAAGGACTGGGTCTGTATTTAGTTGAAACAGTTCGATTTACAACAGTCGACTGCGACTTGCAGTTAGGTTTTCAAATCATATGCCAGCACACACAAAGAATATTCCCCTAATAGCTACGAGTCAATTTTATATGAATATACTGAATGGCTGTTTTGCTCTTTAGCTATTTCATGCATTGTAAATGAAAACAGGGCAATTGAAAATCTATTGTATTCATAAGGCCACATGTGAGACATCTTAAAATGCATGAAAAAAGAAAACAATTGCAGCCTCTCAAAAGCTTTTAACAGCAAATAGCACAACAAAATAGTCCATTTATACAGTGTGAGGACGCAGAATACTAACAAATAAACGTACTGCGCTGTGGAAGAAAAACTGGCATGTAAACAGGTTGAATAAAATATGAACAATCCACTCAACAAACATATAGCAACAGTATATCCCGAGTAAATGCCTGACAAGGTCACTCACCATAGCAGAAGGCTACGACTCAGTGCATCACAATAACTCAGTCCATCACATCATCTACATAAGTCTCTGAGGCATGAGGCTTATCATGAGGGGAGCTTGCCTAGCCTGACCTGCCTATGGGTTTCATATGACACACACGGACATACACACACATGCACAATCCATCCCTCCCTCTCTCTTTCTCTTTCTCTCTCTCTCTCTCTCTCTCCACCCGTCCATCTGCTGGTGGATGTTGGCAGCAAAGTGGTAATCCCTCTATAAACCTATTGTAAAATACCAACTGGTGGGATGGAAAGTAACTCCAGAAAACATATTCCATCACATCAAAATAATTGAGTGGTGAGGCTGACAATGTGTTAAAACATATTGAAAGGCCACGACTCCTGTGACTTTCACTGGTTCACACATCAATGAGAAAAAAACAATTGTGCTTTCTGATATGAAAAACAATGGACGCACATATCACAAGATACTGTTTCCTTTTTCTAGTCACTACCAAGTAAAGAGAGAGACACACCCATATCTACTGTGTGTGAATGTTTGACAAAGTTACAGAAAGAGCAAAATCTCCAGAATATAATTTCTGTCTTTCCCAGTATTTAGACAATGTATAGAAACAGATGCACACACATAGCTATACACCAAACCACCACAATGAAAATGAAGTCACAAGATAGGGGGTGTTTTGGAGGAGGGCTAGCAGTGTTAAAGGGTTTAAAATCCCCACCTGCTACTGTAATTTAATAAGTCCTTTATAATGTCCCTCACCTTTACACATGTTCTCATTTACGATTCACTCTGGCACACAGATGAATATTCCCATTAGCCAACCTGCCACTGAATGAAATTAACTGCCTGAAAATGCGAGCAGAGCTGTCTGATAGCAGACAGGCTTAAAATGAGCAGAACATTGTTAAAAATAATTTTGAAAACACAAAATACTTACAAACCCATTACAAGTATCAAAAAAATACACAGTGGTAGACAGCAATGCACGCTGCCAACACCCCACACATACATGTGTCAGATATAGCAGCCTGACACATAGGATTTCACATGTCAGCACACACCAAAAACCAAAAGCTATTTCTGCACCCAAAGGCAGACTTTTGGTTTTGGTTCTGGCTTTATGAATGAAAAAACCATCATTCACCATCATCAGTCATCAAAGAGTATGCCATCGATGTATCATTGCAATTATTTCCTATTCTTTTTTAAGTATCAAAGTCAATTCTCCTACCTTGTCAAAACATGGCGCCTACATTACCCACAATGCAACTACAGTGTTGCTCATGCTATGTGTTAGTTAATGATAATGTAACCTAGCATCAAGCAGAGACGGGAGCTGGCTACAGGGATTAAATCATTTATAAACCTGTCTTCAGCCCCAACTGAAGTCCATTTCCAGAGAAATATGTGGCATTTAAAATAAACCACATTGTCATTGAGTGGACCAGCTTCCACCTACTGGGAAAATATTATTATAAATAATGTCTCATGATGATAATGTACTATTTCTTTTATTTTCATGCTTACTGGGAGGGAAATCATCACATCTGCTGATGCTACAAACAGATATTTCCAAAGGTGGTTGTTGTAATGTGCATGTGTGATGATCCTGCTTTTCTATACACAGTATCTGCACTGGAAAAAATGGTTGCTTTCTACATTTACAATTTGTACACACATTCAGCGTGGACATGTTTTACTGGTTACTTGATCATTCATTTTGTAATCCATCATGCTTATTCTCCATTCTAACAATGATTTAATGTGCTGGGAATCTGATTTCACTTAAATTGATTAATTACAATTCGTATGCAAGACCGTAAATATTCTACAGCATCTTCCTCCGTGATGTTGGTAAACAATGTCATATGTACATGCACTTTGAGATGCAGTGACATCAGGAAGTTGTTATTTCTTAGTATAAGCAAGGACTGACTGTAATTGATGTACTAATAACATCCTGCATTAGGTCAAGTTAGATTAAGAAAAAACAACAGGAAGATGAGTGAATTCTATTTTGAATGGCAGCACTGTCTACATGGTTTCAAGGACCTCAACAATCCACCTTGACATGTATGTTGACTTTTGTTAAGCCTTTAGCTAATCTGACATTTTATCCACCTCAGCATGTCTAAGGGGCATGCAGCCTTCCTTGGAAAACTGTAGTGACTCACCTGCTTATGCAAACGTTTAAGATTTTTTTTCACCATACAGTGCCTAAAACAGAAAACCACAAACTTCCTCCACCCCACATTTAAAAATGTCAGTCACATGGCCCGTTTTCCGAAACCCATATCTGGTGGCAGTCACTCACTAATAAACCCAGAGGCCCCGGCCAGCTAATGCATCACAGGTCAACAGCAGGTGGATAGAGCAGTGTGCACTCTACTGTATACAGCATGATCCCCCCCTGTGGGCACCAGCAGCTCCACACAGAGCTGCCGTCCAAGAGGCTACTATTACCTGGTAGTAAGCTGCAGTCAAAAATAACCGCTGTAAGCTTTGATTACGCAGCAGGAGTACAACTCTGTGTGCTCTTCCCTGCTGACCTTCAGCTGATGTAGGTGACAGAGGGCAGTGCAGAGGCACTGCTGAAGGGAAGGAGCTGTTTCTCCTGGCAGAAGAGAGACTGACTGTCTGTGTTTTTCATTTGTTTTGAAAGATACATTCTTGTGGTTATACACAAGAAACTGAATAAAACATGAGCAGCAAAGAGACCTCAAAACAATTCAAACAGCAGTAGTATGAAGTGACAAGGTTAGATTTAGATCAATGAGTAGAATATAGCAGGGTTAAAAATGTCAGTGTTCATCAGATAGACATGATGTTCTCGGCTGAGAGTAATGCTCAGTAAAGTTCAGTTATGTAAAAACTTAAGTCAGAGGATGTTCACCAGACCGAACTACACCAGCTATGTCTTACAGGCAGAATCAATATGCAGCTCTGATATAAACTGCAATGCTCCGATCAGGTTTGAAAGGACAATACTGTAGGTGTCTAATGTTGTCATGGCGACGCCTGCACCATCCCCCCCACCCCAACATCCTGCTTCAAACTGTCTTCATATTTTTCCAACCCAGCTAAAACACACCTGTCCACTACATGCCTGCAGCAAGCCTCTGCGAGTTGACCTCCTGCCTGCACAGCTGCTGCTCATTTGCTTATTAGCTCTTCAGTACATAACTAGAGTGGTATTTTCATGCATTTCACAGATAGTTAATAAGTTGCTGTATTATCTGAGGTGGGCTTTTCTTGACTGTACCTGTTTTTTTGCCTTTCTGTGCCTCAACTCCACCTGCTGCGTCCTGGTGTCTGCATTTAGGTCCAGTTTCCAAAAACTGTGACAAAAGACAGATAGCTATTGTCTGTCATTGTCAAACAGATGAATTATATATGAAACCACTGTCAGTACATACTGTGCACACATCTAATAGCATTAGGCAGGAGGTCAGTTTTCTTTATCTTATAATTTTGGTTGCCAGGCAACATTTACTCATGATGGAAAAAACTTTACTGCCTGAAGTAATGTTCTATTCTGGAAATGCTTCAATATTTATACACAAGGGGGTGAATTGAATTGAAAATGTTTGGTTTTTTGTTTCTGTTAAGAGTGTAAGCTGAGTGTTAGCCACACCAGCTTTATATATTTAGGCAGCTGTCAACAGACTGTAAAATCGTTTACGTAATGACTTTGTAAGGCCAAAGGGCTTAAAGAGACACTGCCAGCATCATCAGCAAGTTGGTTGTGGCCTTCAAGTGCATGAAAGTTTAACAGACCTTTTACTTAAAAGGCACAGAACCAGATCGTATTGACCTAGGAGGCTAATCGACCTTTTTAACAGCAGGCATTTTGTTACGAATAACATTAACCACAGTGACAGTTTCCCTTTGTGGCTCTAAATGTAACAATAACATTTTCTCAGAATGGTATCAGCAAAGGAAAAGTGGCTAACTGCACAGTTTTACATACTCAACATATGTTTTTCTGTCACTGTGGAAGTTAAACACTTGAGTCCTCCACTAGGTACAACAGAAAGAGACTCAAACTCCAATGCCATGACAGTGAAAGAAAGAAGGCAAGCACAAATCAAAGAAGATGGCTTCATGCTGTTGTTGTCTGCTCTTGTGATGCTTGAAACTGTGGCTCACACTTGCATTGTGATACACATTTTAGGTGACACTTTTGCAACAAGGAATAAGTTAGCCTGAAGCATTCAAATACTTAAAAAGGGTATGTTTCTGGCTTCATAGAAGCCACAGTACAGAAATCCTCTTCTATGTTCTCAC